GGGCTCATTGCTGGCCACTTCAGAACTCTCCAGCGCTTCTTTGCCATCCATTTCTGAGTGCTTTTTGACGTATGTTTTTGGGGTCATTGTCCTGCTGGAAGACCCAGGATCTTGGACGCAAACCCAGCTTTCTGACACTGGGCCCTACAGTGCGACCCAAAATCCTTTGGTAAATCCTCAGATTTCATGATGCCTTGCACACAGTCAAGGCACCCAGTGCCAGAGGCAGCAAAACAACCCCAAAACATCATTGAACCTCCACCATTTTTACCGTAGTACTGTGTTTTGTTCTTTGTAGGCCTCATTCCGTTTTCGGTAAACAGTAGAAATGATGTGCTTTACCGAAAAGCTCTATCTTGGTCTCATCTGTCCACAAGACGTTTTCCCAGAAGGCTTTTGGCTTACTCAAGTACATTTTGGCAAACTGTAGTCTTGCTTTTTTATGTCTCTGTGTCAGCAGTGGGGTCCTCCTGGGTCTCCTGCCATAGCGTTTCATTTCATTTAAATGTCGACGGATAGTTCGCGCTGACACTGATGCTCCCTGAGCCTGCAGGACAGCTTGAATGTCTTTGGAACATGTTTGGGGCTGCTTATCCACCATCCGGACTATTCTGCGTTGCAATCTTTCATCAATTTTCCTCATCCGTCCACGACCAGGGAGATTAGCTACAGTGCCATGGGTTGCAAACTTCTTGATAATGTTGCGCACTGTGGACAAAGGCAAATCTAGTTCTCTGGAGATGGACTTGTAACCTTGAGATTGTTGATATTTTGCCACAATTTTGGTTCTCAGGTCCTCAGACAGTTCTCGTCTCCTCTTTCTGTTGTCCATGCTTAGTGTGGCACAGACAGACACACAATGCAAAGGTTAAGTGAACGTCTCTCCTTTTTATCTGCTTTCAGGTGTGATTTCTATATTGCCCACACCTGTTACTTGCCCCAGGTGAGTTTACAGGAGCATCACATGCTTACATTCTTATTTATCCGCAGTTGTGAAAGGGTGCCAATACTTTTGTCCAGCCCATTTTTGGAGGTTTGTGTGACATTATGTCGAATTTGCTTTCTTTCCTCCCTTTTTTTGTTTTGTCCCAATACACACAAAGGGAATAAACATGTGTATAGCAAAACATGTGTTAATGCAATAACTCGTGAGAAATACATGATTTCCTGGAGAAATATCAAGGGTGCCAACAATTTCGGCCAGACTGTATAAATCCCTGAGTCTAGATATTACCAGTCCCTAAATATGGTGGTGCCATTGGGTTGCTTTTTTGAAGGCTAAGTATACTTTCTTCAACAACAGGTAATTGTTGATCCTACCAGAAGTCCAGTGTCCAAATAACATCCTGTGGACTGAACTGAAATCTCAAACAATGTTATCAGGTTTCTCAGCTATCTATTGTGTACTACAAAGCAATACCCTTAGTTTGATGAGTATTTGTAGAACAAGTCAGGAAAGCAGCCTAGGGTGACAACATAGCTCAGCTCTTTCATAGATACAGTGAGTAGTCAACCCTAGGATAGGAAGTGTGCTATCTGCAGGGTCACCAGGTGAAAATAAAGGGAAAAAAACAATTTCATCACCATATCTAAGGACTGGTAACAGAAATGTATTACTTTTTTTTGTGGGGGGATTTACTTTATCTGCTTCATTTGTTCATTCTAAAGACAAGATTAGTTTTTGCCATAAACTAATAAAACATTTCATGGTTTTGTATATTATTAAAAGTTTACCATTTTGAGCAGCAACATTATATTTAAATTTCATCTTTTGTTTTCGCTTCATTGATATTAATTGCCATGTATGGTGATGTTAGCAAATATGCATCATTGTGAATACTTTTCACAAAACTACTGTCTTCTATATTTTGGGAAACAAATACATTATATTTGCAAGCAATACACATGTACAGACATCATCCCTGAGAATTTTAGCTAAATTAGGATTAGGAAACATTACACTGTAACTCTTATAAGAAATGTATAATCTATATTGCTATGTGTTAACCCTGATCATGGGGGTTTATGTGCTCTGTCTAACCTAAATAATTTAACGTGCATGTGTGTGTGTATATATATATATATATATATATATATATATATATATATATATCAAATTGTGCTCTGTCCGGAAAAAGGTGAACCCCCTCGAGTGATTGATGAGGGTGGACATACCCACTTCCCAACATATTGAGAAATACTTTTTCTATTAGATCTGATTGAAGTAAGTCTGAAGTAAGTTGCTTCCTGTAAACCCAGGAGAAGCACATCCTTGTATTCTCCAATTCAACAGTCACAGTAAGCTTTCAGCTATGAGCTGAACTCCCTGGTCCCTCAAGAATGCATTATGATATCTTCAGCCCCTTTTTGTAATGGTTTCTCCATAGGAAAATATGTAGGTTCAACTAAAGTGGGGCAAGGAAGTTCAGATGACAGAAGAAACATAAGTGGTGGGAGATAACCTGGTAGGTTTAGAGATAGCAGTAATACTCTAATGGAGGAACAAAACCTTGAGTCATGGTTTGAATTGCTAGTAGTAGTTTTTCACATTCACCCAGACTTGTCTAGTAATCCTTTCATCAACCATCCCAGGGGCTGAATTGAGTGTTGGGAACATATCCCAGGACTTATAACTACATGGGCAACTAGGTTATAAGATTGCCCTACACAAAAACACATTTACTCAAGAAAATATTATGTATATTCTAAAACCTAACATTTTCACAGATCTGAACATTTGGGCTTTCCATTAAACTGGGATACAAAATACGTCTGAATTCTTGTTGTACTGCTGTAAGGTAAAGCTACATCGTCATGCGACCAATCCACACATGACTTGAGTGATGCGCCTGTATAACATAAGGGAAAAATTGTGCTTTAATCCCACTTCACCAACCTTTATACCGCATACAGTTTATTATTGCTACATTAATGTGATATTAGTGTTCCTAGCAGCTTGCTAAAAACAAGTTAAAACTGATTTACAATGAGGAGCACTGTAAAAGAAGTGTTCAGAGGCCTATTAAATTCATTTTTGCTGTAATAAGGCTACATTTAAACAGAGTCTTAATTTTCCAGTGTAGGATACAAATCAAGTGTGATTCCCACCTGATCAATGAAATAAAAGCACTGGCTTTCACTCGTACACATTAGGACATTTTTGTATTCTCCCCTTGAAGCCTTTACGGAATAATCCTTTATTTTGCATCTCATTTTCTATAATTTCTATCTTTTGAAATGGTGCAAGTGTATACTAATAAATTGAATAAACATTTCAAATTAAAAGGTACCAGTGTCTTTGCTGAGGTTTTTATGCTCTTTAAAGCAACACAAAAGTATTATATTTTAGCTTCCATGAATATTTTCCGTAAATGCAATTGCATAGCAGTGCTCTTTGCAGCATGTGTAAGGGGTCATATCACAGCCAGTAATATACAAAAAGTTGCATCCCTCACAGTGGGAAAGTTCACAAAGTGCTGACACAAGTTTTAGATAATCTATACTGTATATACTACATTTGTACGTATACGTAAGAAGGTTCTGTGGAACCCAAAGGAGAAGAAAGTCTTTCCTTTTCTTGTTTTCTGCCATGTTTCTGCTGAACACACATTCATTTGTACAGACTGGTATACAGGTAGGTTCATTATTGTGTTGCATGAAACATTGTGCATCCACTGTACCACGTTTTCCTATCCCAGCCTAGACAGCACAAGTGTCAGAACACCCTATATGATCAAAATTTTCCATACTTCTAACCATCACATCCATTTGAGCTTGATGGACATTTATACAGAGTTGCCTCCATCCTTTGTCACTATAACAGTCCCCCCTCTTCTGTAAAGGCTGTCTACAAGATTTTGAAGGTATTTTGTGCCCATTCTGCCATGAGAGCATTTGGGAGGTTAGGTACTTATGCTGTATGACAAGAGCTGGCTTAAAGTTTTTGTTACAAATCATTTAAAAGGTGTTCAATTGGGGATGAGGTCATAGTTTTGTGCAGACCACTTGAGTTCCGCGCCACACTCATCAAATTATGTCTTTTTGGACCTGCTTTTGTGCACATGGGTACAATCATGCTGAAACAAAAAAGGGTCTCACCCAAACTGTTGCCAAAAATTTGGAAGAGCACCATTGTCTAAAATATTTAGGGAACGATTTATTGAAACTAGAGTAGGCGGAATCTGGAGCAGCTATATATGGCAATCAACCAGCTTCTATATTCGGATTTTTCAGTTAAAGCGGAGATCCACTCAAAAGGGGAAATTCCACTTTAAGACATCCTCCCCCCTCCTCTTCCTAACTTGGCGTGTAATTTTCGAGGAGGGGGGTGGGCAGATAGCTAGTTTTGAGAGGTACCCGCTCCCGCTTAGATTGCCTAAGATATCCAAGCGGAAGCTCTCCTCCCACCCTCCCTCTCCACACTCTTCTGGAACACTTGACAGGTCCCAGAAGACTCTGGACCATTCACAAAGTGCAGGGCAACTTGCACATCCACAGTGGTCACCCGGCTGTGAACCAAATGCTGCACAGCCAGCTGCCCACAGTTAGGATGCTGGTGCTGGGAACCCAAAGGCTAGTGAAGAAGTAGCCCTGTTGAAGGTGCCACTGGATCACTTGGACACATAAGTGTCCAATTATTAAAAGTCAGCAGCTGTAGGATTTGTTGCTGCTGACCTTTAATTTTTTTTTTTACAGACTGAACCACTGCTTTAAGCTTTGAAAAGTTGATTTTGTGCCATGCACAGCCCCCCCCCCCCCTTACAATACCACCTTTTGTATGCTGTAGAATTACCGGTACAACATACTGGTGGCAATGTACTGTTGACCATATACATACTCTTAGCTACATAATGTACTATTGGAGCATACACACAAAATATCTATTGGCGTACCCTGTGTCACATGGTAGTCATCACTATATTCTGTTGTCAGCAAGCATTATTATTATGTTTCATTACAGAAGGATAAAAACAATTGTCCTTGGAATATCCAGTACTAAGTTATGGAGAATAAACTAGCACTGAGTGATTGCCACTATCCAGAACAGCAATGGAGCCATCCTCTATCACCGCAATTGCTACTGGGTATGAGAGGCCACTGGCAACAACATACTTTAAGGCATTGCCTTCCTCCAATTTGTTCAAGCAAATGACACATCTGTTATTTACATCTGCTACTAAAATATTTCCCTCTTGATCGAAGGCTACTCCAGATGTGTGCACATCTAAGGGGAGGAAAAAGCTTAAACTAAAACTATCAATTTGTTTTAAGATCTTCATCTTATTATTTAAAATCTTAATTCGAGTACTGGAAGAATTTTTGTTGTCTTTTGCCAGGTGTTCAACCACAATAACTGATCCATTTGCTTGGCAGACGGCAATTTCCTTGGGCTGGCTCAAATACAAACATATGTTAACAATTTTCTTGATACCACCTTGGCTGAAGTTGGCAGCTACCAGAACAAGACTGTTGGCATTAGTGTCAGAGACGATGACTTCATTTTCAGCATTTATGGCTAAGCCCCAAGGCAAGAGGAAAGGTTTTTTAACAATCAAAGTACATTTTCCAGCTTGACTGTACACCTTTAGTGAATGATCACCTGCATCTGTCACTGCAACAAATCCATCCAATGTGACCGCCACACTGATTGCATACACTAGGCCATTTTCTGAACTGGATTTCTCTCCCATTTCGTGAACTAAATTTCCATTTTTTGTGAATCTTGAAAGCCTTTTTTTGCCATCATGTGCCACAAGCAAGCATCCGGTGCTGTAACAGAATGCAGTACCAGTAGGGTTGAAAAGCACACCCCAACCACCAAAAGACGTGCTGAGCTTAAAACTTGCAGATTTCAGTCTTGCTACTTGATTACTTTTACAATCTGTAAATCGTCTTTCTGGGTGATCAGGGACCACGCGCCCTATGATTTCCAAGAGGTGTAAGACAGGGAGGCACACACTGGTCTCAGACTTCCTGCAACCTCTGCGGCAGAAGGGACATTCTAGCTTTGAGTTTCCAGGGTTGCAGAGTGATGAAACACAATCCTGACACATGATGTGACCACAAGGAAGGTTCCTAGGCCTATTCCTTTGCTGATGACTGTATTTCTCAAAACAAACCTTGCATTCAAGTAAGTTCATTTCAGTTTCATCCAAAAAATCCTTCATAGTCCTGATTTCTTTCTGTGATGGGGATGACATTGCTTGTAGCTGTAATCCTTCACAATAATACCAAAAGCTGATCACACTGCAGCATGTCACATGACCTGGTGGTCTGAAATAGTCAGCACTACTATTATACGCACAATGAGAAAGCACTTTCAATGGCTTGTCATACGATGCCACCTATTGGTCTGAAATATATCTACAGCTTTTGTAAAAGGAAAGATGTCTTTTCTATGAATTTTTCCAACACAGGCTTTTTGAGACACACCAAAATCATGCAAAATCAGAAAAAAAATTACTTGATTTGCAACAATGTACAGTGGGGCAAAAAAGTATTTAGTCAGCCACCAATTGTGCAAGTTCTCCCACTTAAAAAGATGAGAGAGGCCTGTAATTGGCATCATAGGTAGACCTCAACTATGAGAGACAAAATAAGAAAACAAATCCAGACAATCACATTGGCTGATTTGGAAAGAATTTATTTGCAAATTATGGTGGAAAATAAGTATTTGGTGAATATCAAAAGTTCATCTCAATACTTTGTTATATATCCTTTGTTGGCAATGACAGAGGTCAAACGTTTCCTGTAAGTCTTCACAAGGTTGGCACACACTGTTGCTGGTATGTTGGCCCATCCTCCATGCAGATCTCCTCTAGAGCAGTGATGTTTTGGGGCTGTCGCTGGGCAACACGGACTTTCAACTTCCTCCAAAGGTTTTCTATGGGGTTGAGATCTGGAGATTGGCTAGGCCACTCCAGGACCATGAAATGCTTCTTACGAAGCCACTCCTTCGTTGCCCTGGCGGTATGTTTGGGATCATTGTCATGTTGGAAGACCCAGCCACGTTTCATCTTCAATGCCCTTGCTGATGGAAGGAGGTTTGCACTCAAAATCTCACGAAACATGGCCCCATTCATTCTGTCCTGTACATGGATCAGTCATCCTGGTCCCTTTGCGGAGAAACAGCCCCAAAGCATAATGTTTTGCCACCCCCATGCTTCACAGTAGGTATGGTGTTGTTTGGATGCAACTCAGCATTCTCTCTCCTCCAAACACGACGAGTTGTGTTTCTACCAAACAGTTCTATTTTGGTTTCATCTGACCATATGACATTCTCCCAATCCTCTTCTGGATCATCCAAATGCTCTCTAGCAAACTTCAGACGGGCCCGGACATGTACTGGCTTTAGCAGGGGGACACGTCTGGCACTGCAGGATCTGAGTCCCTGGCGGCGTAGTGTGTTACTGATGGTAGCCTTTGTTACGTTGGTCCCAGCTCTCTGCAGATCTTTCACTAGGTCCCCCCGTGTGGTCCTGGTGATTTTTGCTCACCGTTCTTGTGATCATTTTGACCCCACGGGTTGAGATCTTGCATGGAGCCCCAGATCAAGGGAGATTATCAGTGGTCTTGTATGTCTTCCGTTTTCTAATTATTGCTCCCACAGTTGATTTGTTCACACCAAGCTGCTTGCCTATTGCAGATTCAGTCTTCCCAGCCTGGTGCAGGTCTACAATTTTGTTTCTGGTGTCCTTCGACAGCTCTGTGGTCTTTACCATAGTGGAGTTTGGAGTGTGACTGTTTGAGGTTGTGGACAGGTGTCTTTTATACTGATAACAAGTTCAAACAGGTGCCATTGATACAGGTAATGAGTGCAGGACAGAGTAGCCTCTTAAACAAGAAGGTACAGGTCTGTGAGAGCCAGAAATCTTGCTTGTTTGTAGGTGACCAAATACTTATTTTCCACCATAATTTGCAAATAAATTCTTTCCAAATCAGCCAATGTGATTGTCTGGATTTGTTTTCTCATTTTGTTTCTCATAGTTGAGGTCTACCTATGATGCCAATTACAGGCCTCTCTCATCTTTTTAAGTGGGAGAACTTGCACAATTGGTGGCTGACTAAATGCTTTTTTGCCCCACTGTAAATGCATCTATATTCATCTTCTTCAAAGATATAGAATATCTAGAATATGCAATATACACAAAAGGGTCTATGTATCAGACTGGATGTCGCTCCACTTCCTTAAACTGAACCTCTCCAAAACCGAGTTTCTTGTCTTCCCCCGCAGCCCGGACACCACCCCCCATTGACTTTTCCGTCACATCCAACACCACCATAAAACCCGCCCTGCAGGCCAGAGTACTTGGTGTCATTCTGGACTCCAACCTATCCTTCCAGCCCCAAGTCCAATCTTTAACAAGCTCGTGCAGACTCCACCTCCGCAACATCGCCAAAATACGCACGTTCCTAACCCCAGAAACCACTAAACAGCTCAAGCACTCCCTCATCATATCACGACTCGACTACTGCAACTTCCTCCTCACTGGCCTGCCTCGCTGCTGGCTATCCCCGCTTCAGTCGGTCCTGAATACGGTTGCCAGACTCATTCACCTTACCAACCGCTCCATCTCCGCCACCCCCCTCTGCCAATCCCTCCACTGGCTTCCAATTGCGCAACGGATCAAATTCAAAATCCTAACACTGACGTACAAAGCTGTCCCCCACACTGCCCCGAACTACATCACTGACCTAATATCCAAGTACCGCCCAGCACGCACACTCCGCTCCTCACAAGACCTCCTTCTTTCTAGTTCCCTGGTCTCCTCCTCCCATGCCCGCCTCCAGGACTTCTCCAGGGTGTCACCCATCCTCTGGAACTCCCTGCCCCAACCCATCAGATTATCACCTACTCTCCTCTCCTTTAGGCGCACCCTGAAAACCCATCTCTTCAGGGAAGCCTACCCCACTCCCTGCTAACCTGCCAGCCTCCTCCACTCTTCCTACCACTCCATCCCCCACAACTATCTCCTCCTGTGCCACCATCCCCTCCCTCCTAGATTGTAAGCTCCAAAGAGCAGGGCCCTCGATCCCCTCATGTTTTGCATTGTATTGGTATTGTTCTGTCACATGTTCTGTCCCCCTTTGTAATATACAGCGCTGAGCGAACCATTGGCGCTTTATAAATACTGTATAATAATAATAATAATGTATTACAAAATTTGCTTTGCGAACATCTCAACATTTTTGAAACCATAGCAAATAATACCTGTAATATTTGTAATATGTGTGTATTAGTTTCCTTGTTGCCTTTCACTGGGTGAATATAACATTCACTAACATTTTTCCTAAGGCTGAGTTCACACATACTGTGATGACAAGACGTTTTACTGCATTGTAAAACAGCTGTCACTGCAAGAACACACAGGAAACAATTGTGTCCCATTTACATTGCAACACATCCTAGAGCTGTGCTGCACTGTGCTGCACTGTGCTGCGATACAATGCAGACATGCCGCTTTTTAGCGCAGCGCACCATGTCAAATCATATGGCAATGTACAGCACCACAGTGCATCGCGCTACTGTACATTGCTCTGAATGAAGTGTATGTTTTGTACACTTCACATTAAAACAAAACAAATGGAGCCGTGTGTTACACTGAATCACACACCACACTGCCCCTACTACAGCTGGCAACAGACAGCTGCTAGAGCCGTAAAGCACTCTGGCAGCTCTCCATTCCTGTGTTAACCCGGCCTAAGAGAAAAATAGCTTCAAGAACATTCGACCAGGAGAGAACATTCACCAATCTATGACGAATCCTGTGCAAAACGGTGGAGCAAACCTTTAGCTGCAATGTGAAACAAAACATTTAGCAGTGTTATTATTACCACTGCTAATTGTGATGCTTCATCCTCATTGTTAGGGAGATGGGAGAACATCATGCAAAATAAACATACAAAATATTAAAATAATAATAAAAGGAAAAAAAGTAAGAGGTTCCTCCCCTTCTCCCAAAATCCATACCAGACCCTTTTCTGAGCACACAGCCTGAACCATACCACAATACATGTCCTCACTTTGGGGGTCCCCCTGGCAAAGCACTTTATCCCCAAGTCAATGAGAACAATGGCCTTTTCCCTGCACCCCTGGCCCAGTAGCTGTGGGGGTCTGCAGAATGATAGCTTATTGGACTCTGGAATCCCAGTGGTAAGGGAGGTATATTTTCTTGCTTTGTGTAGGGTTAGAGATACCCATATCTTTTAGGACCTGGGCTTCAATAGCTATGCCAATACAACCTGTGACTGAGAAGCAAAGTGGAATAGAGAGCCTTGTCTGAGTAAGTTGGATCTGTTTAGAAAAGGCCAAGGCTTGTCCACCAGAAGTCTGAGTATGTCTGTATACCATGTCCTTCTTAGCCAGTTCCATGCAACGATCACTGGACCCTTTCTACCTCTATCTTGTGCAGCAGTTGCAGGAGAATCTTTATCAGTGAAGACATATATCAACCTGAAAAGAGTGCCAGGAATCACCATGGCATCTACTGCGCAGGCCAGAGAATCCTTGGACCTAGCTACAAATCTGTTCAGTTTGTTGTTGAACCTGGAGGATAGGATGTCCACATCTGGTTTCTTCCACCTTTGCCAGAGAGTCAGGAAGATCTCGGGATGCAGACAATTGTCCCGTGTCTAGGTTTTGGTGGCTTAGAAAGTGCACCTGAAAATTGTCCACTCTAGGCTTGTGGACAGAAGAGAGAGCTGGAATGGAAATTTCTGGCCAGAAGAGTATTAGATTTGTTTCTTTTAGGGTGGATCTACTTCAGGTGCCCCTTGATTGTTCCTGTAGGCCACTGATGTGGCATTGTAGGAATGCACCCTAACTGGATCACCTTCAGAAGGGGGGTCAAGTATTGTAAAGTTAATTTGATGGCTCTCAGTTCCAGAATGTTGATGGGGGGTCCTAACTACTCAGAGGACCAAATCTCCTGCGCAGTTAGGGAGGTGTAAACTCCCCCCAGCTGGTTAGGTTGGCATCCACTGTCAACACTTTCCAGGGCATGGGAAGAAATTACTTTATGACTCCAGGGCAGAGTTGGAGATTCACAATGCCAGGGGGAGATGTGTCTAGCTCGATAGATGCATAGAATGCCCAGAACCCTAAAACAGAAACACTGTGATGGGTTCCTTTTGGATCCGATGATGTGAGACCTTACTAGGGCAATCTTTTTGGAGGAACAAAAATTTTGAATTGGGATGTGTCCATGATTAGACCCATCTACTCCAGGCAGTGTGAGGTCTGGGGGGGTCGACTTTAGGAAGCTAAAGTGGGTCTTAAGTCAAACTTTTATTTAGCTTAATGCATTCTCTGCATAAAGGTAAAAAACTTTCACTAGCTGCTCCTTCCCCCCTCTTAAACACTTACCTGAGCCTGTCAGGGATCTAGCGTTGTGCCCATCTACAGACCTGCTCTCCTCTCTTCTTCTTCTCCTCAAAGGACACACAGGCAGCAGCAGCAGGAGCTATTGGCCGTCAGTCAAGTCCTGTGAGGAGGGAGCGGGAGGCTTGGCCAAGCCAAGCTACGTGTGTCTATGGATACCAGCACTGGTGCCCCCTCAGCACACGACCTACTGAGGGGGCACTCAGAGAAGAGGAGTGGACAGTGGCAGAAGGTGACCCCAGAAAAGGAGGTAAGAGACCACTCTGTGCAATATCCTTGCACAAAGGAGGTAACTACAACTTTTTTTTTTTATTATTTTAGGATTTTAGTATCACTTTAATTGATCAGTTGAAGGTTTGAAGGAACTAAATCATCTTTTGGCAGAAAAGGAGTCCCTCAGCAGATGGTTGTCCAAGTATCCTGTGACATGAATGTCTTTGGTCTGAAGAAGAGCCAGAAGCAGTGTAAGCACTTTTTTGATCATTCAGGATGCAGGGGAGAGCCTAAATGGTAGTGCTACAAATTGGAAGTGTTCTCACAGCAAAATACAGAAACTGTTGATGTGAAGGGAAGATAGCGATGTGTAGATACACATCTTGTATCCAGCAATTTCCCTTTTCTGAGAGAAGGAATGGCAGATTGTGATCATTCTATACAGAATTTTAATACACAAGAAACAAATTTAGGGGACGTGGCAGAAACACAGAGGTCCAGGACATCTTGAATTCAGCCTGACACAAATGTCAATAGATGGTCCCCCTACTCCAAGAGGTTGGAGCATCCCTTCATTGTGAAGAGGTTTGTACCAAAAAAAAGTGCTAAGCCTCGGTCTTGTGTTTGATGCCTAGGGAGAGAGAAAGAAACCCCTTTCGCTTACTAGAGGTAGTGGCTATAGAAGGTAAGAAACTTAGGCTTTTTCTTGTGGGTTTATCAAGGGATTCCCCAAATAAGCATTCACTGTCAAAAGGCATGCATATAAAGCTTACAGGCAAGTTCAGCAGCAGACCAAAATTTCAATCAGATAGACCTGTGCATATGCAGAAAGATAAGAAGCATTCTAGAGACTTTGCAAAATATTTTCCCTAGCGCGTCAACACAAAACAAGACTGAGGGCATGAGCTACAATTGTTCTAAGATAACTGGGTCGACAAAAACAGGTTCATGGTATCTATCAATTTATCTTATCCATTTAGTAATAGACTGGCAAATAGACATGGCAGCAACTGCAGGGCTGGCCTAGCAAGCGCAAAGGGGGCCTTTCAGAGACCTTCAAAAGAATCCTTACAAGGGGGAACATCCTCAATAGGAACTGCTAGGTCTTTATTATGAACTGGAATGGTAGGATCCACTACTGGCACAGCCCACTTTTACCTAAATTCCTTTTCCATAGGATGCATTTCAGAAAATTCTTAGTGTATTTTCAATTTGTGCATGAATAATAAAAGTCTTTTTTGATTTTGCAAGCCTCTGAATACCTATAGGAGCTTACTTTGGCTGTGGTGAATCAGGTGATGCTAAACAAATGCTATTTTGCACGGTGTCAATTAGCATGTCCACAGTGGAGAGCATGTGTCTAGGAGCAATAACTTGAGGCTCATAAAATGCTGGGATTTGAAATTCCTGTGCAGTTTTTGCTACATTATCTACACTTTCATTCCTTTCCTCCATTTCATCCTTAAGAGTCAGTTGGAGAAAAAAGGAAGTATAACATTTTTGGCCCTTGAAAACCTAGGATTCTAGGACTGCCGAAAGCTTTCTGGAGAATTCAGACATAGTGGCATAGAAATCTGCTTTTGTCAGATAGCCTGCATGGTGTTTGCCTGGGAGGGGGTTAGAGTCAGATGAGGGTAGTGGTCTGATAATAGGACATTGCTCTGGATCAAGGGAACAGCTATCACCCTGACCACTGTTCTGAGTTTTCTGTCATCAGGCCATCAACAGAATGCATATTTTTCAGCTCTTTTATCCAGCTTCCTTGCACCTGTGATCCGCCATTGCTAAAGTGCGGGGATCCCCAATGAGCTTATCATGGAATAGAAGAATAATGGGGTTTGCATGTCAGGAGCCATGATAACCTAGGTGCTGACTGTGATAATGTGGCATCATCTCTGTAGCAGAACTCAGCAGGAAAACATGTTGTGCACATTTTTAAGTAGATATGTTGTGCGTGAGGCATATTGAGACTGTCGTCACCCTGGGACCAAGTCTGAATGGTGGACAAAAAGACTCCAAAACTTTAAAATTATTCATGGGTCCAAAAAATGTTACAAGTATAACGGCGTGAATAACTATTAATTCATTTGCCTACATATCTGCATTGTGTGATAAGCACTGTAACTAATAGCCAGGAATTGGTTAAAACTACAGGGAAAAACTCTGTCACACCTCATCCACATTGCTGGGTCCATTAGGGGTCAAGGTTTTGTCTGTTACAGTGGGCATGCCCTTAAAGGAATCTTCAGGGTCTGCTCTTTATAGCACCCTATGGTTAACCACACACGTTGCACTTCAGGTCAAGATGAATGCCTAATGCAGGATCCAATGTCTAAAGCAAACATTACAGGCTGGCCTTACACAGCAAGGTCCGGGTACAGTCCCTAAGGTGTCACCAAGGGTTACTGATTTGGAAAATGCTAGATAGCCCAGGGCAATAGGCAGTCAGATCTTGATAGACATGTCAGAAGGAAAAAGGGAAAGATTAAAAGAAAAAAAACTTCTACTAAGGGTGAAAGGTCCATTATTTAAGGACATTAGCCAAAAAAATGGAGCATCACAGAATGGGTGGGGTTAAATGAGCATGCACTAGGGCAGCCCTAGCAAGTTTTTTTTGTCAGTGTCCAATTACCTGTTGATAACCTGCATATAAAACCTGGTCTGTTAATATTGGTGTCCTGTCCTGTTCAATTAGGATATATTGTTTGTTTTCCCGTCACATACCTTGACGATGTGAAATTGATGTTCACTATTAATATATTATGTGATAAGTAAGATCTGACAGTCTCCATGTGCAACTGAAGCTTGCAAATCACAAAGCTAGACAATCGTTCTTTATTCCCTGTTCTGATGTGCTCTTTTTTAAAATTTTTCTAATGGTGGACTTTTAAATGTTTTAAAAATTATTTGTAAAGTATATGTGAACCCCGACTATACAACAGTTTCTTAACGCACTGCGTATCGTAAGTAATTACCATTTTTTATCAAAATTTTTTTTTCAGCTTTTTTTGTTTTTATTCTTCTCTGTATTTCTGTGCTGATCTTCTCCAATCA